GCTTTAAAAGGAAAAAAAAAAAAAAATAAAATAAAAAATAAAGGTGTAATAGGTACTGGCGCGCGCTCGAAGGCTCAGATGGACGGCTTTGCTGTTCTGTTGCTCCTCCTCGACTTTCATCCGGCGGCTGCTGCTGTTTGACGTTCTAATAAGACCCTAAACGAGACACGATGCATCGCGGTGCCGGGGAGAAAGGGAAAACCCGGACGCTGGGATTTCGTCTATCGATCCCCAGCGTGTGGGCGTGCGGGTGGGAATCGATGCAGGGATCCGTTAGCTTGTTTCTTCCTATGCTTGCTTTTTTTTTCCTTCTCGCGGGCAGATGTTTGAACTCACCACGTTGCAACCTTTGGCTCTAGAGTTGAATTCTTGCAGGTATTCTAAGCGACGATGCGCCAATGGAGCAAAACGCTCTCGAGGCGATTTCTTTCATTTACACCTATTACATACCCCCAAATTTTGGATAGCCATTATAGTATCAAAATGAGTTTTAAAAAATTACTCTTTTTAACCGCTTCAAGATTTGAGGGATTACAAATGATCATACTCTCAGTACCCAAATTGCCATCCATTTTTACTGCGGGGGTGTTGCAAAATGAATAACCCAAGGTGGCGAAAAGACATGATTTTGAAGAAATGTATGAGAAACGAGGTTAACATTGTTTAAAACGGATGGCGATGGAAATATAGCTTTTCGGGGGCTTCAAAAATAATATGTTTCAATGCCATCCGTTGAGGATAAAAATTCATCTCAATTTTCTGTGCTGAAATATTAACTTTGTTTTTCACATATTTGTTTGAAATCATCACTTTTTGCGATCTTTCGCAATTAATTTTGTAACATCCTCGCAGTAAAAACGGGTGGCAATGTTTTTGACTGGGGGTGGGGGGGCTCGTCATTAACAACTTAGTAACAGGAGCAAATCGATGCTCCATTTACGCATAGTTGCGTTAACTAGAGTTTGTGTCTATATGTGCGGCAAAGCAACCCAAGTTATTAAATTTTCTGGTGTACGAAATTAACATGTTTCGTATCATTATGTTAACAGCACGTGTTGTATTAAAATAAAAAAGGGGGAATGCAATGTCATCTTTGATAATCTCAACTACTGAAATTGTATAAAAGAGTGGAAAAGTTTCACATAATTGTCAGATCGAGTTTTGTCAAATGTATCGAGTACTCGAGGAACCATCGTTTAACATGAAGCTTCTTTTTGTCTTTCTCATGTTTGTGGTATCCGTCTGTATTGCTGATTTACGTAATTAAACATCTTTGTGTTACTAAATGAGCATATATTAAGCAAATTTTACTTTCTGATGAGTACGATCTTAGACATCGCCAGATTTTTCGATACTATCAAACTATTAATAGCAACTACATAGTTGACTTTTCAATTTGTATCATTCGACATACTCCAAGAAATAGAGAAACTTAAAAATTATTCCAATTACTGTAGATTTAGGCTAATCAAATGAAATTTTTTTTTTTTTAGATCTATCGCCACAATATTGCCATTCGACCGAACACAATTATTGCAAAGCATATTGTGGCGAGTATCCTTCTTTGTGCTACAAATATTTTGGAATACGATTCGGTTGTGAATGCGATAAAAGTTTACGGTATAGCCGATTCATTGGCGCATAGCGCAATATTCAAAGATATGTAATCAATTGCCCAAAGAATCTTATTTTCAAATCTATATGTACGACCTTGCAAAAACTAACTAGTTTAAGAACCTCCATAATCTTTATTTTTAAATATTAAGTCTATTATTTCTGAAGCAAATATTGGAGCGAGTAAGGAAATTTGTACGAATGTAAATTGAATATTAAAATATTATTGTCATGTATTTGTAAACTTATGTACAACTACTATAAGTAAAATGTAAAATTACGATTACATGTAATTTTAAATGCCTACAATAGACGTAGTATAATTGGCTTGAATGAAAATAAAAAAAATTAAAAATGATTAAAATGTGGTTACTATAAACACAAAGTCCCAAGTGATTCAGCAGAACGCTTTTTAACAATTCAAAATTTCGTAGGCGAACAAATTCAATTATTAAACGATGTCACATCCTATGTATGTATTGACCGAATATTTGAATAAAATAAAAAAAAAAAATCTTGATGTCCAAGACGATTTGAGTAAAGCGGTGACGATAAAATAATACGTGTTTGATGGTCATTAAATACTCAATGAAAGAGCATTTTTTAAATCTCTATTAGGGTAGCGAAAACAAGTTTGAAGCAGCAAATCATACGAGCACGCACATCACGTGCCCTAACATGCATTTCTCGCATAATTTTCCGAAAAAATTGTTTCCTGCGTCCAACTCAAAGGGGGAGTTGAACATTTTTTCGCGTGCCCAGCACCGTCGATAGCATCGTTAATAAATGTAATGAGCTTATAATGCATTTCGTCGACAGGAGCATCCATACCGTGTACGCGCATCGATAATAAAAGAAAGAAGGGAGATATCCGAAAAAAAGTGCGAGTATACGTGCGGGCTCGATTACGATCGAATCCGCGTTTCGAGAGGATTAGAGGCGAGAGTGCAAGCCAGACGGGCTGAGGGACAGCTGCGAATCCACCTGCTCGCTTCGACGCTCTCTTTTTTTTCGTTCACGGAGATAAGTGTCTATAGGCCTTCGATGTATACGTTCATATATATATATAGGTCCGACGTGAGGTGCCTCCACCTTTCCTTCCCTCTCTCTGCAGTGTGTGTATACGTTGCACCTTTGATTCGCGCGTCTGCACGAGGCCTCGGTGTCCGTGTATATTTCCGCGCGCACACACACGCGACTGAGAGATAAATTGCAAGGAGAGTGTCCATTACGTTAATGAAGACGAATTTCTTAACTGCCTTTTAATTGGAGGGACGTGCTGATGGACTTTCGCCTCTTTCTTTTTCCCGGTTGTATGGATTTTCGATCGGGATCGAGATAACGAGGCTTCGCCGTTGTTTCACGTACATCGTATATGTTTTTTTTCTCTTTCTTTAAATTGCCGATGAAATTCTCGTCTCAGCACGTGGTAGAATTGAGTATAGTCGAGGCTCTCTCTTATCGTACAAACACACACGTTATATGACAATACGTCGAAATACATTATAAAATACAATTTCAGTTGTACGTGCGGAGCAAGGCCTCTCACTTACATATATGTATAGGAGATACGAGCGTGTACTTTTAATAACGCGAGAATCCCCCGTGGCCCCCCTTTCTTTCGCGCATATTATGTGACACACGCGCGGCCAGACCCGCTATAATAATCCCGACGCGTATCGAATCGCGCGAACTACACGTATAAGTACAGCCGATGCAATATGCGCGATTTCGCGCCTCGACAAATCGCGCCTGGAAAGAAAGACCGAAACGTATGCACCCCAGCCAAAAGGGGTGCGCGATACGAGTTTTGCTTTAATTTATTTCAGTTTAAAGTCGTACCTATACGTGTCGAGGGAGCCTTCCCTTTTTTTTTTTTTTTTTTTCCTTTAAAAAGAGAGGCAGCACGTGCGTTATACTCGTGACGACAAGTGAGCAGCCATCGATATGCTCTCCTTCTTTTTTTTTTTTTTTTTACTATCATGCGACGAAGGAGGGATGCTGATGATGATGTTTTGTATGTTGCGGCACGGGGACGTTGGGTCGCGTTTTTGCGACTTTGACTGACAGAGCGTTTTGTCGCGCCGTTGATTGACAGGTCAAAGTCAACCAAACAATGCCCCGTTTCGAGTGAAAAAAACAAAAAAATTTAAGAGCAGCGCATATGATTTAGTGCAATATTGAAATTGAAAAATCCCCGAGGGCGTCGCTTTGCCGCGTGATATACGCGCGGCGATATTATACGAGAGAAAAGCAAAACGGGGTTACCGGACGCCGAGCGGGCCGATGTTGAAATATAGGTACACGCGCGCGCCGGCTGCTGAAAAATTCTCATATGCGATTCCATCGCACTCGGGCCACCTAATATTAAGGACCATTAATCGCGATCGATAGCGGGACGAGAGACCTTCCGGGTTGACGTATGGGGCGATTAAGACGCCGAGATGGTGGAAATTTATTGAAACTCCTCCAGAGAGCCGCGTAGGGGTCAGCTTTGAAAGTTTTCGATGCGCTGTGAACTAAAAAAAAAAAAAAAAGGTAGCTTTTTGTATTTGCCATATATCTGCTTTGGTTATTATTCGTTTCTTTTTTTCACGTCAATCTAATGGATCTGTCTTGGCAGTTCCGCGTGACAGTGCGAGGTCTCGAATCCCTCCTTTACGGGTGGGTACATTTCCGAGTGCCAGCCCAAACGAAGCGAGCAACTGCGGCACCGGTGCAAAGCACAGCGCTAAAAGGCAGTTAATTAAAAACACACGGGCGTCGCGAAAATCGTAAATAACGAGCTGTACAAGCGCGAATGCCCGGGTTGCATATACGAGATACTCTGGGCGCGCAGGTTCCTTTTTTTTTTTTTTTTTTTTTCGCACGATAGCACTCGGAGACAGACGGCGGATAAGATCTCGAGGGGCCGGGAGATAAGACAGATGGTTATCTCGAGTATTCGTGGGGGGGGGGGGAGAAAATTTTGGGAAGCGCGGAATATCGAGTCTCCTCGAGCATCCGGAGAACGCAAAGAGAGGGCCGTTTGTTCCATACGCGCGGGATTCACATTGTCCCAACACAGAGGTGCTCGTTTTCCGGTTTATTAAAAATTAACGATTGTAAGCTTGGATGCACGTGCAAAGTGAATCGTCATTCCGACCTTTTCTTCCAAAAAAAAACAAAAAAAAAAAAAAAAAGCCCAGAGGACGCAATCAGTTATCATGGATCTCGGGCAACAAATTGCCAAAGCCGAGAGTTGTCCTCGTAAACGAGCACCGAAATAAGATAAAAGGGGAAGCCCCGTGCGCCCGCACATAATACACCGATATAAAAGTCACGAAAGAGTATGTACATGTATACGTATGTGGAGAACCGTACAAAAGAGAGAGCTTCCGCGCTACTGGCGTCTCCGGCCGTATACGTGTATAGGAAACGACGTTGCATGGCGGCGGCGGGACGGGCACGCGCTCTCTTTTTCTGCTGTTCCGATAATTGGCTACAAGGAATGCGATGGGGGTCCCTCGAGCGCTGCCAGGCACGCGCGCCCCTTTTTTTCGCGGCGACATCGGGGCGCTGCCGCGGGAGCCTCGCGAGACCGGCCCCCACGTATAACGAGATAATTAATGTACCGCGGAATTAGCCGATTTACATGAGACCGCGCCATCAGGGTTGAGTGTGTATGGACTTTGTCGTCTATATTTATATATACAGAGTCGCCAAAGACGTCGTCGACGGGCCCTATACCGATGTTGCGGCTTTGTCTCCCCCTTGCTATCTCCCCTGCCTTCCAGATTGCCATTGTTCTTCTTACCGCCCGCGGCTCATCTTGCTCTAATTTTCTGCCCGTTTTTCTCCCTTTGTCCCCACCCCCATCTTCTGTTCGAGTTGCGTCTCGAATCGGGCCCACGCTCCAATGCACTGAATTATTTTTAATCCCGAGCTGATGAGACCACCCGCCCCTTTTTCGGCGTTTCCGCGCCCAAGTCGGAGAAGAAGCGGGAGACGAAGGAGCGGGCGAGAAAAAGAGACGACGGACGGACGGAGATGGAAGTATATATAGGGGAGGGAAGGTGGCGCGGCGTCGACAGCTCTCGGCTCCGATTACAGCCGCGAAAACAAATGAGCCCCGGCTGCGAGAGGAGACACGCGCGCGACAAGAGAGGGACAAACGGACACGAGGGGATGGACGCCCTTGTACGCTCCCCTCTACTTTCTGTACGCTTTTCTCGCGAGGCTATTGGGTTTTGTGCTTTATATTTTTCGAGGGCCAGGACGGGCGGTGAAAAATGAAAGTGTCCTCCACAAGGAAATGGAGTTTTTGGGACGCGAGAACCGATTTTACGGAAGGACTAGTTTGCTCCGAATTCAAGTTGACGCGAATGAATTATGGTAAATGGGTGTAAAACTTGAAATCTCCCTTGGAGTTAATCAAACTCGTCTGACGCGTGGCGGTATACATTATGCAATAATAAAAAAAAAAAAAAAACGCAGACGCACGAGTACACAAGGAGCACGTCGTTCTCCCGAGGAATTTCACGTCAGCTCTCCTCACGCATACACATGATATATCTGTACGTTTTCCCTACAGTGCATTTTACTCTGCAGATGGTAAGATGAGGGAGGAGGAGGGGGAGGGTCAGAGTCGACCTTACGGTGTTTGTCGCGAGCCGCTAACGAGCAGGGAGCCCGCGCGCTTAGCGGCCTTTATACGCCGGCTTATGGAGAGTAAAACGCCGGACCACACACATCCGATCCTATCTGAGCCAAAGAGCACGCTCCCCTTTCTTTTACCCAGCTTCTTCCTCTCTCTCTCTATCTCCCGCGAGAGTATAGGAGCACGCGCGCGCGCGGTCTACTCCACGTACACATATATGTATATATGAAAGAGAGTCCTCGCATCCCTTTAATAATATACATACATATAGACATATACACGTAAGTGCGGAACACAGATTCGTTGATGTCCTTATATCAACGAGCGTGTATATATGGGTATTGGTGTATCTAGCCATCTATCTTGTCCGCCTCCTCTTTGAGGGCCTTTCGGCAGCCGACACGACGTCGGGCGTGCGGTCACGCGCGCGCTACCATTGCGCGATCAGCGCGTGCTCACGATCCACCGTCTCCACAGCATGTATGTGTACAGCTGCAACATCGGGCCATACATTATGCACACACTGCGTGCGGGATATATATCGTTTTTTCTTTCTTTCTTTTTTTTTTTTTTTCCACCACGCGAGTACCTGTACTTGCACGACTCGAGATGAGGGAGAGATTTCAGTGATTGATCGATTGCAACGCGGTTAATACCTATTGTGCAAACATATATACTTGCATCGAGATGTTGGCTTAATTACTTGCGCATCGATTAATTGGTTTGAAAGATCGAGAACTCACCCCGTTCTGAAGTTGGCGGCCATCGGCATGGAACAAACAAACGATTCGATATCAATCAGTTGGTGCTTATCGTATAATTGTATAGTTGCGTATAATGATTATTGTGTACGGGGGGGGTACATAACATACGCACCGAAGTTTCGTTGACGCTCTTGATGTAGTCCTGGCAGGTCCCGGCGATGAGCTTGACAATGTTCTCGTCGCCGTGTTTGGCGGCCCAGTGGAGCGCCGTCTGAAAATTATAAGGAAAACCAAGCGTCGAGCGATTAATAATCGCGACACGGATTATACAAGTCCGTCCCCCCCCAACTCCCGACATATCCGAGACACATTTTTACACGGATCTCTGGCGTTTGTTGGACACGCGGTGAGAGTAATGGTCACCCCCCCCCCTTCACTCAGGATCGAACGATCGCTCAACGCCGGAGCGCGAGACGAAAGTAGAGCCAAGAAGGGGACGGAAATCCGCGGGGATTACACGTCGCGCGCGCGAGGTATACGTGTAAGCTCTGTCCCGGTGTTTTACACGCGTATTTTCGTCGCGGACCTTATAATGTATACGTGTATATATTTATGGACGTGGAGGCGCGAATTATAGGGTACCACGAGAGGGGGGGGGGACGATCGGGATGAATGGACGACGACGGACCGCACTTTCCGCGAACGTGTCGTGGCGCGCAAGGAATAGTTGAACTCGTTTGGCCCGATTTCCCTTTTTTTGTGTTTCATTAGTTTACCTAAACTTACACAAATTTATTTTTATTATTTTTATTATTATTTTTTTTTTTCTATCCAACAAGGTGGACAAACAATGGTGAAAGCTCTCGAGTAAACGCTTGAACCCCCCTCCCTCTCTTTGATGGGAAAAAAGGTAAAAACATAAAATGAGGTCTCCCTTTTTTTCCGTAAGATTTTCTCTCGCGGAATTCGTCCTGCATCAGACTAGATTCTTCTAACAGGTATCTCAAGTGCCGTGGAGTGGATATAGCTTTGTATTTTTAATCGAAGTATATATACTATACAACTGTTGTTGTTTTGGTCATGACGAGTGTTGGTTCAATTAATGTAATGGGACAACAATGAGCCAACTATGCGGACAGGAGGGACAAAAATATATATTTCATCGACGCAGTCACACTCGGAACAAACCATTTTTTTTTCCTCCAGACAGCTATTAATTAAGAACTCCCTCCAATTATGGGGAGGGGGTCTGCAGCCCCGTGGAATCGGACGCATTTCCTCCTTCTGGCCCGTCGGCAAAAAGTCTCGAGCGCCTCGGTACCTCGGCGAAATTCCCAAATACGAGCCACCGTCGCATGTCCGCATAATAATCGCGAAGGGCAGCCCGGAGAGCGTATAACAAAAGAAGGGCTACGGCAGCAAAAAAGGAGGCGCATTCCGGCAGGTGAATCTCTCGCGCGATGTTTCATTTTTCTTTTCCTCCCCCCCCCTCCCCCACACTGCGACGCCGGCGCAGCTTAATTGATTAAAAGGCCTCGACGACTTCTTGGTCCGCTCGGCCATTGCGGACGTCACCTCGGCGCAAGAGAAATTGATCTGTCCCTTTATGCATTGTGCTGATTGGGATTCCTGGAATTACCGCTGAGGCACGCGACGAGACCCGGATGATGCATTCGCCGGAACACCGGCTGACAGTCAAATTAATTCGATCGGCTGATTTATGATCGCTTAAGTGCAGGCTTGGCTCGGGTATGTATATATATATACGTACGTCATGTACGTATGGAGACTCGCGGTAACTGAGAACGCGAAACTGCATGGCTGAGGATTACTTTGAGAGTCTCAGAATTTTTTAAATCACTTTAGTGGCGTGTGTCAAATTTCACGCAAATACCAGAGATTCGGCGCGTCTGTTGCATCAAACGCTCAAGGCCAAACAACTCGTCCAAATACCGATCATAAGTTTCTTTTACTCGCATCTATATACTCTATCCTGATTATATTATACCAAGTCACATAATAATACATCATCTTTTTATTACGATTTCTACCTCGTAGGACTTCAATGTAACGAACACCGTAAGAGTAGTTCTTCACCGTAAGGTAACACATGAACTTCATAAAGTTTTAATTTACAATAAAATATTTTTAAATTTACAGCACCAAATTAAAATTCATGAGTCCCATTTAAAATGATACTTGTAGGATTTAAAGCAGTCATTTTCGTTCCATCATCGGTAAAATTTCCTTCCGTTAGCAATGTAAAATATTTTACATCAATTTTGTACATAGTAGTATAAAATAAAAACAAGAGATATTTCTGTATGGACTATTTAATCTTCGAATCAATATAATTAGTTTAGCTGCTAAAAAAGCAGCTGTTTAATCATATCGAACATCATATTATACCGTATTGAGTAAGAAAAAATTTCATTGCTATCTATATTAAATAATTTATTTAATTGTTTCAAATTCTGTATTTACAAAGTATTTTTATTTCTGTATTTTTCTTTGTTGACACGTGTTATATTTTTACATAAATTTAAAAAAATGATAAGGTTTACTTGCTGTAATTACTATAATATTAAATAATTTAACGGTATAAAAGACCGTAAAAAGTTTCAAAATCGTCAGTTATCGTCAAACGGGATACAGTATAAGGCCTTAAACATGAAGCTTCTTCTTGTCTTTCTCATGATTGCGGTCGTTCTTTGCACTACTGAGATACGTAAGTAAATATTCAACAAATTTCTTGTGAATTTAACACTTTTATGGAACAAGTACACAGAAAAAAACGTTTTCACACACATTGGTGCTAAGCTCAAGTATACAAGTCGTTGGGAAAGGTGGTAATGAATATAACTATACTTGATCTCGCGAAGGCTATAGTCATTATTGTGACTCACGTTCGAGGGTTCATGCGTTACTCCCAAGTAAACGACTTGTGACACTTATTACAGTATCATCAAAAACTTAGCTCATTTCATAAAAAAATTTCCTAAAAAAATGTTGTGCAATCAATATCAATGCCGCTCATGCCTATATCATTGGTAATCGTATGTCTGTTTTTTTAATTATCCATAATTTTTTTTTCAAACCCAATAATGCTATCAATCATAAAATAAATACAACTTGGTTGGATATGTTTTTTTTTCTTCATGTTTTGAAAAAAGTATATTTATTATTGTTTGTAAGAATCGCTGCAATTGTAACACTACTGCTCTTGAAAAATTTTAATTTTGATCAAGCTTTTACTTCGATTTTTGCCCTATAATGAGAGAATTTTTTGTACCTCTATGCGTACGAAAAATTTCTCAAAGGTTTATTTTATTTTGTTAACACTTGTTTCACGCGTGACCCACGTTTAACGCTACGATCAAAAGCATAAATTTCGATTTTACACACGTAATGCGTGATTGTCGTGAATGGGTAATCAGTTAATACAGAGTTGTGCAAAAATAAATCGAGAGCCCTTACACGGCAAACACTGTAATTCTCAGTTTATACATTTTTCAAGACTTTAGTTATTAGTTACAAAGAAATGTATTGTAATAGCAACTGGGGCGCATCTAACCGGAGCAACCACAGCGATGTCGCCCCACTATTGTAGTGGTAATTAAAAAACTGTTTTCAATTCTAATTAGTTAAAATGTATATGATTTCAGCTTGTTCAAGTTCTATGGATTACCCGAGCTGCAATATATGGGAACATAAAAACTGCGATGTACATTGCAAAGAAAATAATGCGTTGTGCTACAAATTTCGTAAGAATGATTACAAATGTATATGCAACAAACAGTTGAAAGAACACAATTAAGACTTGTTGTTTGTTTTTTTTTTTAATTTATTTAAATTCATAACCACGTAACAATACCGTCATCATCATGGTAATCGCCAACCGTTCCACAATCACACTCCAAAATCAATCCCGATTGTAATATTAAAATGATCAATCTGTCAGCACTACGGAAGATAATTATTTGAGATTTCCGACAGCTCGGAAAATCATTTTGTCCGCCTTGCGTGAGTTTTTCTCATCCACGCGCGAGCGTACTAATATTTACACATCAGCGCAATGCGAGCACGAAAAAAGGAAAAAAAAAAAAAAAAATTTACTTTGTTAACGAGTCCCGTGTACTCGGCCTAATATTACTTCAGCTGCAGACGCAAACAATGCATCTTTACATGTATACCAGATCCAACGGAGAGTCCGTTACCTTAATAACACGAGAGCAGGACTCACCTGATGAAACAAAATTTTTGCTCTCGGCATAGTTCTGGGACGGGGGAGGCGGGGGGGGGGGTGCAGGGGCACAACGAAGCACATTAAACAGCAACAACCTTGTACTTGGCTGAATGAGAAGCAAAAAAAAGAAAAAAAAAAAAACACCCCCCCGAGCAAGGCAAGGTAAAAGAAAAAGAAGCGCAACACGCGGAGTTTGAAAGAAAGCTGGACGAAAACACGCCAGAGAAAAAGCGGGGGGATGAGCTCTGAGCGCATAATAGCGTCCGTCGACCGGATAAATCATAAGGCCCGTAACTGTGCGTATACGTAACGCGCGCGTATATGCTAATGACACGTCCCGCATCCTGTGTTCTCCCGCTATATGTAACCTCCTCCTCCAACTCTACGCGCGACCCCTCCCTTGATTTCAACTCCGTAACACACGTATCTTCCATTATGTACCTACTCGCTAGGCGTTTCATTTCTCGCGCAAAATTTTCCTTCCGCGTATATATACGTCCGTCTGTCTGTCTGTCTGCCTACCTGCTACTGTTGAAATCCAGCGCAAAAACGCCGCCGCCACTGCGATTCTTTTGTTCGTCCTATATGTAAAGTACACGCATATATGTATACCTGTATACAACTGACCTACGCACGTACGTGGGTACTGCAACATCGGAGAAAGGATAATAAAACGAGGAATTATATATACGCGCGTTAACCGCGAGAGAGAGAAAGATACATTTCCCTCCGTTGGGCGTAGAGCTCCTATCTTCCGTGCTGGCACTGTACGGGATGTGCAGTCGGGGGATAATGTGGAAGGTGTGTTTGGCGAATAAGGGGGGAAGGAGGAAATTCTCCTACGCGATGGCACCGACGCGATTTTTAATTAGTAGGCGAACTTTTGTGAAATCCGGCTGCGGGCATGTATCTTGGCTAAAGTATGTATAGAACCTCGACGATTTATTTTCCCTTGCGCTTCTTTTGTCCCCGCAAGTGAGAGACGATCGACAATTATCTTTATTAGTAAGGTTTCATGCCCAAAT